GCATCCCTCTCCCGAGTTGTAGGATATTGTGTTGGGTCCTAGCCTTGGAATTTCATTTGGATGATTTACCAAGGACTCAATCAATCAACTAACTTGAATTCGTTTTTTCTCCCGATGTCAAAGTTCGACAACTATGGTCTTCTTAAGTCCCGTGGAACAAGCATTCCACATGAAGATGATATTCCACGATTCGATCGAGGAACAAGAAATCATGCTTCACTTCCTCCTCCTCCTCCAATTATTGTCCCTAACCCACAAGATTGTAAAATTGAAAGGTTCAATATCACTCAAGACCTTTTGGCAAGTAAACATAAAGAGGGCAAGTCGGTGTGTGCACACGTCTTAGGGATGAAGTCACACATTGATAGATTAAGAATGATGGACTCACTCGTTTCATTTATGTTTATAAATTATACTTTAACGTGTAATGTACTTGTATTTCCCCCCTAAAACATGAAAAGAATTGAAAGGTAGGGGTATGAACTCACTCGTTTGGTTCGAAGAGAGAGAGGCTAAAGTTGAGCAGAACTTTAATCGCGGAAAGCTGCGTCTTCGGGGATCTCGGTAGCGTAGATATTTCGTTGGGGGCTTGGGTACGGAAACTGAGGTGTCGGGATGGTTTCTGGAGCTCTAGGGTGTGTAAAAGTGAGAGAGGATCTGAGAATTGTGTGCAAAAACCCGAAGCTCAACCTCTCTATTTATAGACTGGAGGATCCTCGTACGCGGGGCGTACTACCGGAGTACGTTGGGCGTATCCAGTACGCGGGGCGTACTTCGGTTACGCGGGGCGTAAAAATGCGTCATGGCTTACGACTCAGGTCTAGCTAGCGTAGAGCACTCGAGCCAATGGGACTTGACACTGGGTCTAGTATGCGGGGCGTACTCTGGGATTACGCGGGGCGTAATCCAGTCTTCCATCTTCTAAATTCCGTAACTTTCGCATACGGGCTCCGTTTTTTGCGTTCTTTATATCCATGCGTAGGTGAGATTATGCTATACAACTTTCATTTAGACTCCGTCGGCTAGTTTTGACTTTATTTTTAATGATATATTGTTAATAGGCCGGGACTACTAAAGTCCGTTAAAAATTCATAGTTTCTTTATTCGACGTCGGTTTTTGTTTGTCTTTTTATCATTTTATTACCATTGTGGAGATCTTCAACTTCCGTTTAGGTGGCGATAGCTAAATAACACTCAATCTTCAATTCGAGTTTTTAGCCCTCTACTACTGTTACAAAACTTAGGAAATTCGTAACTTCTTCATACGAGGTCCAATTTGGGCGATCTTTTTATGTATGTTTACAGTCTAACGAACTCTACATCTTTTGTTTAGATACTTAAGGCTAAAATGCATTTTATTGAAATTTCACTTTTTACGTTAAATAGCGTTTTAACGGTGTGTTGTAAATATACGAGTGGTTATAATTTCTTCGATATAACCCAGTTTTGAATGTTCTTTATGTTTTAGGAAACCTTGGTACGATATCTAACATTTGATGTATCCCAACTCAGATATTTGAACACTTTATTTTTTTGAGGTTAATTTAATTGACTCCAAATAATTTTTGTTGTATTTGACTTTTGAGCGTTACACTGCTTTTGGAAAATATCGGGTTGTCACATTGTTGAACTCCAAAGCATAATATATGTCCCTTTGAGTATATTTAGTGGTGTTATGTAATAAAAATCCAATCTTAGACGTTGGAATCAAGCCATGCATGAGATAGGAGGTTTTTGAGATAAGGAAGTGAGTGTTTTGGGTGTTTGTGACCTTTCCAGCCAAGCAAATGCTTAAACTCATTGAATTTATGGAGTAAGTTCCATTAGGGAGTCCAAATCTGGGGATTGAGGTAATGTCTTAAATGTTTAAGACCAAATGAGTAGAAAGAGTGAATCTGGGGAGTACCCCGAGGGTAATTCCTGTACGCCCTGTGTACTGCCCCAGTATCCCTGATGGCCAATATTGATTCGTGAGTATGCTGAGCGTACCAAGAGAGGTACTCCCCGCGTAACCTCATTGTGTAATTTTGGGCTTAGTCTCATTTTGGGCATTGAGTGTTTGGCCTGGAGTTTGGACTTGTTGCAATAGATTCTTGGACCAGAGGATTATATATATGTGCTTTAGGCCATTTATTTGGGCTTGCCATTAAATGTGAGAGAGTTGGGCCTTGGGAGAGCCCATTTATTACTAGTCCTTGGTGGGCCCAAGGAGTTTTAGGTCATTGATGGGCTGGTTAGTGGACTACCTTTAGACCTAATGAGCGAGAGTTGATAATAAGTTCCTAATTGGGATAATTGTGGGTTTGGTACAGAGTTAGAGGCCGATTCATAACAGCAACGTTTATAGGGACTGTTCATCACCCGAGGTGAGTCTTATCACTATACTTTACCCAGAGTGGTAATTATGCGTGACCAGAGGGTCTTATGTGTTTTCCTGAGTTATGCATTTTATGTGTTATATGTGTTGTCTGCTATATTACGTGATATTTAGACCGGACCGGAGGGTCCAACGAACAGTGCTATATTATGACTGGACCGGAGGGTCCTCACTTAGACTGGACCGGAGGGTCCAACGAGTAGTGAGACCGGAGGGTTCTCACCCAGACCAAACCACAGGGTCCAACGAGCCATGGGACTAGAGCGTCCCACTAAGACACATCGGATCGAGGGGTCCTACAGAGTTATAGCCTCGAGTGGCTAATATGTGTATGTGGAATTTTGGGGAACTCATTAAGATTCATGCTTACCGTATTATGTTTTATGTGTTTTAGGTTCTTATCAGGATCGCGGGAAGGCGGCGACTCGATTGTACACACAAGAGAAAAGAGTCATGAATAAGGATCCTGGATTTTGATAATTACTTTTGAAAACTATTTTGAAATATGTTATGACATTGACACTTGAGATTTTGAGAATTATTATATATAATGTTGGTAACTTAAAATCGAAAATTTTGTTTGAAAATTTCTGGTGTTACATATTAATACACCAAAAGCTGCCTAAAATATAAGGGGATTTTTTTTTTGTAATTTTCCTATAATTAAATTATGAATTTATTTTCTAAAATTAACTAGATTATTTTTTATTATAATCATATTTGGAATTTAATGAACTTTTCTTATATTCAATTCCTTTGGTCATGGAAAGATGGTTAGCTTGGGTACAGTTGATCTTTGAGTATCGTTTCTGTTGAAGACAAGGTGACATTTGAAGATTCATTATTGTTGAGTGTTTATATAAGTTCATGAAATCTTTTTTTACTTGTGTTTTTAGGATGGATTTTTTTATTGTTTATATTTATGGGAGAATTTGTTTCTCTTTTTGAGAGACCCTTTTTACGACAGTTGTAGTTGGACGTACAAACATTTAGTGTAAATCACATTAAAAAGCCAGAAGATTTCAAGAAAGAATGAGAAAAATATCAACATATCATATCATATCATACTATATTATAAAGGAAACATTTTTCCTTTCACCACATTCATTTGAAACTCCAATGCATTTTTCCTTTCACCATATTCATTTGAAACTCTCATGACTTTTCAAATTCTTTTTAATAATAATTATAAGATGGTTGATAAGGTTAAATAAATATCAAACCTAAAATGTAATCATATATAAATTAAATTTCAATATTAAAATAATACTTATACATAATTTATTAGTTTTAATATATTATTGGACAAAAACCATTATCATTTTAAAGATATAACTTTGGAACAATTTGTATAAAATACTTAAAATTTTAATTTAGGTATCACATTACATGGTCAACTTAAATATACATTTAGTTTAACTTAAACAACCGAAAAAATATTTTTTTAAATAGTTAAAAGTGATAAATTGTAGTTGTTTCTAATAATGATGATAAGTTGGTTAATAATGTGAATAGATATCAAGCCTAAAGTGTAATTATAAATAAACTAATTTTCAATTTTAAAATAATATTTTTACTTCTAGTTATAAAGTTACGTTTTTAACTTTTAACATATTATATTTAATTTATTAGATTTAAAATGTTGTTATATGTAAACCATTATCAGTTTAAAGTTATAACTTTTAAACAGTTTTGACAATATACTTAAATTGTTAATTTAAAAATAAAATTAGAGTGTGAACTTAACTATAAATTTCAGTTCTACTTAAAAAACCAAATAAAATTTTGTAAATAGTTAAAAACGATAAATTGTATTAATAAATGAAAAAATTAAATTGTAATATCAATTTAACTAAAATATTTCCTAAAGATATTTTTATAATCGTTAAAAGTCTACAAATAAGTAGTTTAAACTAACTTACAATAAAAATAGTTAAAAATAACTATATATATGATTACATTGTTACCTTTAAAATCAACAAACAATGTTAGATGTTTTAAATATTTATAATGATAGAAATTAAAACATTAAGCAAATAATTTTTTAAAAAATAATTAACAATAACAACTATAAAAAACATTAAACCATATATGATATTTAGTTTTAATTATTTATGTGTAACTTGCGGATAGAAGTCATTCAAACGATTGAGATTATGCAGTTATAATAGATGTATATATTATCATATAATTCAAAATAATCAATATATTATATCAATTTAATATACAAATTATTATATCAAATTTAACAACAACGTTATTGTTATATTTAAAAAAACATATGTGTTTAAAGACTTCAACTATATATGTGTTTCTACGCAACATACGGATATTCGCATAGTAAGGATATATAAGAACATAAGAATCCTAAAAGCGAGAAGATTTGACACAAATCACACTAATACGATTGGTAACAAGTACCAAACTAATGATGAGTTAATTCTTATATATATATATATATATATATATATATATATATATATATATATATATATATATATATATATATATATATATATATATATATATATATATATATATATATATATATATATATAACCATAAGAAGCAAGGGTAGATTTATCGAGTATACAATAAATAGATACAGTCACACAAACACTTGTCAAATAATAGTTGCTACCAAAGATTCATTAGAACTTGAAAAAGCTGAATGAATTTTGGCTGAATCATTCAGTATCTGACTCTTTGATAATGCATGCCACTTATCAATGTACCCCATTGAGTCGATGTCTAAGTTGGGAAGTTGGCGTGCTTTGAGAAGTTTCAGGATCATTTTGGATCTACCAAGAAGCTGAGCTGCAGTTCGGATGCTATCTTCCCTTTTCTCTATTACATCTTCATGGCACTTCATAGTTATGACACGGGGTAAGTTGGTAAAGCAAGCACATAGCAGATCCGCAATTATGTTTGATATCCACTTAAAAAGTTCCTCATCTATTGGCCAATTTTCTTGCTCATTGCAGTGGAGCAGTATGGTTCGGCTGATTCTGTACATAGAAATTGCTGCAATCAACTTACGATGTGAAAGATCTTGAATACCATTTTTGATATTCAGGAAGTCTTTCACAATTTCATTTGCTTCATCACCCAACCATTCAAGAATCTCCTTTGATGTGTCTCCTCTACGAGCTTTGTTTTTAAGATCAATTTGTAGCCACCTGCAGTATACTTCAACATCTGTCCACACTCGTCCAGCTGCTTTTCTGGTCTTGACCAATTCATCGTTTTCATTGAGGTTTTGTTCGATATGTCTTACAAACTGGAGGCCTTCCCTCATGCTGTCAAGTAAACCCTTGTTGTGGCCGTTTGCAATGTTAGGAAGAGCAAGCGCAATGGCTGTTAATGTCACTGCTACTAGGCTCCAGCAATTCTGAATATCTTTTGCATGTAAAGCTGGGACTTGGTCATTATCGAACTTTAATACTCCATAGAATCCTGTAGATTTCTTGAGTAACTTCATAAGATTACTTGGCTCTTTCTTTGTGGTCTCCTGAAGAAGTAGAGTTATAGAATTGAGGGTGTTTCCTAATATTCTCTTTGAAAGCTTTGCCTCCGGTTCAATTTGTAGGGCGTAACGATAATAATCTTGCATGTCTGATCTCATATCGCTGTTAGATGCATCTGGTTCTCTCATAGACTTTTTCAGCAATGATTTGCAGAAATAGTAACTATAAGAAAGTAAGATCAGAAAAGATCTGGGAATGAGACATGTTGCGTTGCATATAACTGCAACTGTTATCTGAAATGCGATACAGATATTCAATATCAAGTATCTGATGTTACGGAAAATCTTTTTGCAATGGCATCCAGGGATATATGAAGGAACATGGCTGCGTTTCCACAGCTGCAGCATTTGGATCAGGTGCTTCTCCACTCTGAAAACGTTTAGATGGTTCTTGATCCATTTCGTGGAGAGGTTGAAATGAGTTGTGGCAGTCAAACATCTAAAAATCGGTGCGATACTACCTACTATCGCCCCAACTGATTGCACAATAACAATCACGTCGATTGACCATTTATAATTTGATTTTCCATAATCAAATCTCGATTTATCAACAAACATAGCTATCAAATCAGTAAATAAAATGCAAGCACAGATAGCGCATAGAACCCCAAAAGCAGAAGAAACCTGGGAAGAAGCAATTGCAAATTGGGGGTTACCAGTTTCTGCCATCATCCAATACATTTTAACATTTCGTTTGAGTCCCTTACACGAGAAGCTAGTCTCTTGATGAGTTGAAGCCAATCTGTGCAACTCCTTGTACCGGTGTTGTAAAATCTTTCTAGATGCTGAAATTGTCAAAGCTACAGAAAATGGCCATGGAAGGGAAAATAAAAATATAAGGATTTCTGCTGACATTATGTAATGCCGCCGAGATGTAATCAACTGGATCAAGACATTTACAGCAATGGTAATTATGAGAATACCCAAGGCTACGATGTTCATTAGAACTTCCCTATCATTCATAAGCCCTAAAGAAGGAAGAAAGTTGGCTAACATGGTGATGAAGAAAATGATACCCACAAACTTTGCATTTGTTGCAAGATCCTCAGATAGGTCGGTGCTTAGATCCACGGGTAGCTTCATTGCAATTGATATCAGTGTGATGGAAGCAGCATTGATAGTGAAAAATCTGCACGGAAACCAGAGTTTCCATTGTCGAAAGCCTTGGAAGGCATCGGCTGCCATTGCAAGAGTGCACATTAGAGAAGCTACGCAAACATACAATCCTACCCAAGGCATGGCGTCCTCAGAAGATTTCCATACCATCTCGCTAGGAATGCAAAAAAAGCAAATAGCAGTTAATGTGGTCTTTTTTATTTTTTTATTTTTTTATTTTATCCACAATAAAGAGTAATTAAGTTGATATAATACTGATGCTTGATCTATACAATATTGTTCACCCTTTCCTATTCAAGTTCCGCGATAATGACATTTGTTCTGAAATCTCAAAGTCAAAGGCCTGCGAGTTGCGCATCCATGACATCTCCTGTTGAGAAAAAAAAAATCATTTATTTGATTGATAGTAACAACGAAAATAACACATCTTTGCCCCATTATAGATTTAAGTATGCTATTAAAAAGGGATGTTTCACAATATTTTTATCTAATAATGCTCTATTGATATTAGACTTTGTTTCAATTTGAAAACAATAATTTTTTATGTTGTAAAAAATCAAGAAGGTGCATATATGTGTTCCGTGCATTGTGGTATCTGAAAGTTCATTTTGAAGAGGTTTTACTATTGGAGAAACATTTTTGTTTCATTCTTAATTCAAATTTTATACTTTTTTAAATCCATTCTCATGTAATTTGATAATCAAATTTACATCAATACTATTCACGTAAAAAATTATTTAAAATATTTTTTAGTAACATAAAATTGTTTCATACAAAACAAAATCCACGCAACAATTTCATCCCACCTAAACATCTTTTTCTTCTTGTTCCTATTTTACAGTTTTATTAGTTAGATATATACTTTTAAAACAACTATGTCATTAAAAAACCGCCCTCTTGCAACGAACTAGGGAGAAAGTTATATACCATTTAAATATATTAATTTAACTTGATATACATATCATATAATAATTTTTGTCGGACATAATCCATGCTGACTCAATAGACCATTTGATATCATATTTTTTGCCTTTGATTTGGTCATATACCCTTTTACTCGATGTTGGACATATGCTACTTTGATCTGATTTGGTCTTAGACTATCAAACACCCCTTAGTCTTTTTACAGACAATTTTTAGAGTTATGACAAAAACTCGCAACTTAAGATTTTCATAGAGACAGTCGGTATAAGAGCATCTCCAATGTTGATTTTTATAGCTTATTACTATTGATTTTTTTATTGACTAGTTAATACCATTGTAACACTTAACACATAGTTTATTTGATTCTTTTTATCATACACTCAATATATATCAAGTGTTCAATATATTTTTGTGTTATGAACATTTATCCACATCCTTTAATCATAATTCATTTTAACCTTTCAATTATGTTTTAGTTTCAAAAGTTTTAATACATATTTATTTACTAATTATTTATTTCTATTAAGTATTTAATGACATTTTATTAATAACGACTATATAATATCTTCAAGCTTTTTTATAACCATGAGTTATTAATTTTTTTAAACGGTGTATTGTAATATATGTCTTTTAAAACAATTTATTATAATATTTATAATTATTTAATATATGAAGTTTGTTTAAAAATGACTAATTAAATGAGGGGGTTTATAGAGAAAATTAGATAGATATGTATAAATTAGTTAATTTAAAAAAAAAAAAAAAAACTATTAGAAATTGTTAAACCATACTACACTCCTTATTACATAAAAAATGAAATTTTTGATAACACAAAATTGCAAAAATGGTTCATGTGGTTGTAAAAAATATATGATTTTTGTCCAAAGGTTTTTGTCCAAAAAATTTCAGGGTTCCACTAGTAATCCTGTTGTCACCGGCCACTGATGAACTACTCCCTTTCATCGCCTCTTCCATAAAATGCTACCGTAATGCACATAGAAGGAATATGTCCAGTTATGAACCACTTAATATACATATCTTACAATATTTAAATGGATTCAAAGCATTTGATAACTTGCTCCCTGGCGGAGATTGGAGTTAGGGTTTGCACTCCATATTTTTGTCGGATATGTTTCACGATAGTATGATCCGACTTATGATTCATTATCATTCTGCCCAAACGATTTAGGGTTTTCACATCAAAAAAGTCAATGTCGCCTCTGCCCCTTGAGATGGTGGTTTCAGATGTAAACAACAACGTGTTAGGGTTTGGTTATCCGATAATGAAGCATCTCTCTCTCTCTCTCTCTCTCTCTCTCTCTCTCTCTCTCTCTCTCTCTCCCTCTCCCTCTCCCTCTCCCTCTGCAGTATCGGTGGTGGTTTTTGACGATTATAGCGATGCTTACAATGAGTTTCATTTTGGTGTTGGATTTCGTTGAGGAAATGCAAAGAGAGATTAATGGAGTTGGTGTTTGTTAAAGAGAGGGGTGTGGGTTGAGTGTTTCCAGTGAGAATGAAGGCTGGTATTTTATTTTTCATTTTCTATTTAATTGTTGTAACGGAATGAAATTAAATAATCAAAATAAAATGGGTAATTTTGTTATTTGAAATATTTATAGAAGTTTTGGGACAAAACTTACAATAAAATCAAAGTTTTATAGATAGACTAAAACTTTTTAAACAAAAATAATAATTTTCGACAAACTAGAAAGAATTTTTTTGCAACTTTGTTAAAACCATTTATGAACTTTTTAGTAAACCACATAAACATGGAAATTTGTCTAAAAATATTTTTTTATACTTTTAAAATAGTAGTAATAATGAGTGGTACTCGTATTTACTTTAATATTGAATTGAAAAAGTAAAATATATTATGATGTCATATTTTTTAGAACATCCAACATTGATTTGTATATTTAACCACAACAAGACTTTATACATTAAATTGTATATTTAACCACAACATGATTTTTTTTATTACCAATTTAAAGCACACTATTTTTAAAGTAAATATAGAAATGGTCTTTATAGTTATTCAAAAGAGCAATCAAATGTCTTATGTTTTTTTCCATTCATCTTCTTACTCATTAGAATCATGGTTGTTAAAATCGTAATCATGATCATAAGATCGTACGATCCTGCGATTTTAGGTAAGAAAAACGAACCGGATCGTATTTTGGGTAAAATCGTAGGTAGGATCGGATCGGATCTCGATCCTACTTTCCCTTATTTTTTTTACGAGTTCATGTCTTTTATCATTTACCAATTTATCATTTATCATTTTTGTTGTGACTTATAACTAATATTTTGAAGTTTTTAAAACTTTAGAACAAAAAATTGAATGTTTGAAATATATTTTAAACTTAAAACTAAAATCATGTTTTATTTTGCGGGATCTTAGAATCCCGATCCCGATCCCAATCTTGCAAACCCAAAAACAATCATACATAGGATGTCGATCTTGACAACCTTGGTTAGAACAAAATAAATATCAAAAGTACAAAAAAATACTAACAAAAGTTTAATAGATTTCTTATGTGATGATTTTATATAAAGAATAAAAAAACTAAAATGGAAGTAATATTTAATTTTTATTGTCCAAAATTACTGTCAAATTTTCTCTTTTTAAATATGGATAATATTTTGTATCTCCTCTATAGTGATATGGATATGACTCTTGTTGAGCATGCAACACTTTGTTCTCAATCTAAGTCATCCTAATTCAAACCACCATACAAAATCAAAAAAATGAATAAAATAACTCAACACCTGAAAGCTCTTTATTACTCTAGAGAACTCAAACATAATTACAATGTAAGGAAAAATGAAATGGGAGAACCCTATATATACAAAAGGCAAGAACTAGTAGGAACTAAGGGTATCTTTTAATGTTCCTAGAAGATGACTTTTCATGAGTCTTCCATTATGTTTATACATATCTTCTAGAATATGTATAAAAGTGACTATTCTAGACAGAACTAAAATAAGTACAAAATATTTATGAATAAGGCGGGTCGTTACATTCCCCCTACCTAAATTCGTGACATCCTCGTCACGCTTGCGTCTCGATCTTTCCTGATTCCCAACTTAATCAAGTATTCTTTGAAACTCGGCACTCCTCGCTTCTGTATAGTTTGTTCTGAAAGTATCTCCTCAATATCGTGTTCAAAAGACGCAACGACCGACATTGGTGAACGTTAGAATTTTACTCGTTATGGGTCTTCAGGGTCATCATTTTACGACTTGAGCATACTCACATGGAAATCTACATGAATCTTTAACTTGGGAGGGAGTTTACGTTTGTACAAAACATATCCCACTCTTCCAATCACTAGGAACGGTCCTTCGTATCGTTGTACCAAGCCCTTGTTGACCTTCCTCAATGTCTTTAAATGTTGGGGTAGAAGTTTCGTCATTATACGACCCCTAATTTTGAATTCTACATGTGTTCTGTTCATGAAACGACCCATTTTCACAAGCATTTTTTTCATTTTTAATTAAGGTAGAATGCCATTTTTATAAAAACCTATGTTAAGAAAACTCATTTGTTCAAAATACAATTATATGAAAGTTTGAATGATATAATAAATATGGAACTTCAATGATGTTAATGAGTGTGTACAGTCATGCCTTCGCCTTCCCACGATCATCGATATTACATGAAAAACATTTAATCTACAACTTTACGCCAAAGTTTAGTGAGTACCCCAAAATATCACACACCACAATATACATAAAAGAATACACACATCAGCCTTTAGTCCATGACTTCCCTGCCTCCCACTCCTACAACATACAACCGGTCCACACCTGGCCTATACCACACTATTAGCCTGCCCGAGTATCTTGGACAACCATACAAAGCAGGACTACCTCAACCCACCACAAGATATTTTGACATATATAGCAAACCAACAATCAAACAAGAACATCAACATATGCAAGTGTCTACACTAGTCCACCTGTCTTATAGCCCACTACAACATGCATGGTCTCATACAGTACAATATGCCACAACTGGCAGATCACCGAATAAATGCACAACTATATATAATCAGAGGTGAGAAAGACAGTCGAACAGGTGAACCGACTCTAGATCCATAATCAAACACGGAATAGGCAAAATCCTATATAAAGAGATCTCAGGCTATCCCATATGACTATATATAACCCCTAGGCCACTCCACAAGATGATCACCGGCCTATTGATACTCTAACAAACATAT